AAAAAAGGCAAATTATTATTGTAAAATGTTTAATATGGGTTTTAGACAGAATGTAACACAGCACACACCTCTGAACATCATTCTCAACAACAAAAAAAAAAAGATTCTTTTGATGCCTGACTAATCCTGAACTCGCATATGAGCTTGTGAAACAAAAGCGCACGGCTAGCATAGCAGGGTGCAGGATGAGCGATGTTGATGGAGCGTAATTCTGAAATAAAGCTGCATGGACAGGAGGAATCAACAGCGGGATTTAATGTAGCAAAAAGCACTGGGAGCATCGCACCAAATAACAACTCCCCCTGACCTTTTTATGAGGCGCTAGACGAAGATGCATCAAGGAAAAATCTTTGTTTATGTCTGTTCACAACACAGCCTTTTTGGTAGCCGACAGCATTCACATGTTAGACATCAACATGATGGCTGAATGGAGGCATGGAGGGATTTTCGAAAGGATCCCGGTTAAGAAGGGGATCACTGCTAAACCAAAACAGCTTGTCAGTGCAGGGCTGTATTTATATCCTTTCTGGAAGCTCTATGAAGATGTTTGGCTGTATATTTCTCCCTGTGCTGCTGGAAAGCGACATCTGGATTACACGGTGAATTTTTCTTGTGTGATTTTTTTATTGAAATAATGGTGTGGTTTGCTGTTTTCTATTCTGATGACTGTTCTTATTAAGCAGTGAAATCATTGACTATCTGCCATGTACACTTTTTAAAGAGGGATGCAATCCAGTGAGGAAAAGAATGAAGATTTAAAGAGAGAGAAAAAGATTGAAAAGGAATGATTATTTAAGCAATTGTTATTGAGCTGACAAGTATGCAGAAAATAAAGAATAAACAAGCAAATTAAACTGAATTATGGACAACTGAACAGAAGACAGAAATAAACCTAACAGAAAAAGAAAGAAATGAATTACATCAGAGATAAATAAGTACTATTAATTTCCCTGTATTAGTGTTTTCCCAATCAGAGCGCTGTAGATCCTCAATGGAAAAATGTAACGTTTTTTCAGCATTAGGAGAGGAAAAACTGTGTAATCTGATCAACTCCTCCAAATCAACAATAACAATGCTACACTCTCTGAAATAAAGGTACAAAAGCTGTCATTGGTGCCGTACTTTTTCTAAAGGTACACTTTTGTAACATAAGATACATATGTATAAGGGTTGGATGATGTCGACCAATTTGGCATCGTACAATGTCTTATGTGAAACATCGCGATGGAAAATGGCATCTTCGTCATTGGCGGAGGTGAATTAATTATTTATAAATAATAAATTAATTCATAACAAATTAATTATTTGTGGCCTACCTTTTCAACTACCTGACTCACATGGTCTTTGTTTTACCCATAAACAAATCGTTAATAGAAATAGTTATATCTACTCAAGTATTTTGATTCTTAAAAAGAAACCATATTTGTGAGAAAGTCCAATCTGATTTAGAGCACTTCATTGTACTGATCATTAAACAGCACTCATCGGAGTTACAATTGAAAAAAAAAATAACAATAATTGAAAAATAATTCTGAATAATACATAGTTCTTTCTTTTTGAAAAAAAAAAATCCCATGCAAAACTCTATATATAAACTATATATAATACTATATTAATAAATGCTATAGAAATAAACATAAATATGAACACAAAAGTGTAATCAAGTGAACAGAAGACCGAACAAAATGAATAAATGTTAGGGAAAAGACAATAAACATAAATGATGAAACAACAAAATAATACAAAGGAATAAATTAAATTAATACATTTTTTATTATATGGTGGAGAAATATGATGTAAAGATGCAAGAATGGAAACTCAAACTATGCACTCAAACTACCAGTAGAATTTATCAACTGGAAAAGATTAATCTCTTGATTTGTGCTATTTCAGACAAGCAAACCTACATTTGAATATGATTTTATGTTGTAAAACAGGCTTCTGATTTTCCCATTACCACAAAGTTATCTATTATAAATGTTCTTAAAAGAACGCCCGTAGCACACATCACAGCAAGTAACAAAGTGCATAATGTACAATTCTAACGTGTCATAAAGCACTCAATAGTCCTAGCCAATCAGAAACAAGTATGTGATTCATGAGTCACTTTACATTCTTCATCCATCTATCTTTTTTAAGCCATTTCCTAACACCAAAGTGTCTGTTATGTTTCTTCTAACAAACAAACAGGTTTTGTATTAAAGGAATAGTTCAACCCGACCTATTATTTACTCTCTCTCATGTGGTTTTATATTTTTAGGAATTTCTTTCTTCATTTGAACACAAAAGAGGATATTCTGAAGAATGCTGGTTGCAGGGGACCACCGACATTCATAGTAGAAAAAACAAATCTATAAAAGACAATGGTAAAAACATCATATTTCAAAATATCTTCATTTGTGTTCAACAAAAGAAAGAAACTCAAACAGGTTTTGAACAGTTGAAGGGTGAGTAAATGATGACAGAATTTCCACTTTTGGCTGAACTATCACGTTAAGAACTAAGAAAACGTGCATCAAATCACTTACATTTTTCGTCCTCCATTCATTTGATTCTTTTTTGTACTTCAAACAAAGTCTTCTAGGTTTTGCACTGAATTTACATCTAAAAACCGCAAAAGAACGAAAGCTGCCTTTTGCCTTGAAAATCAAACTGCTCTATCTGTCTTCACACTGAGATAAACCAAGAGCACGCTGTGGAAAATGACTTCCCAGCATCCTCTTGCAAGCCACCTACTGATATCTCATATGCTTTTTTTTAAGAAAAAAAAAAAAAAAAACACTTTGAGATGAACACATCTTTCCCTTACCTTTATAAATGATTGAATAAGCACTTTAAAACAGCCGTCCCAACATGCCAGGCTTGATCTGGTCACTGGGATGAACACAGAGCTCTGACAGGAGAAGCAATTGCCCACTCTGTACTTAAATCATGATAGCATATGGACTTGGATGGAACTAGTGGAAAAGTTCAGCTCTGTGTGGTTTTGGTTTTGTTTTATAACCGTGGTGCAACTGCAGCAACCCTAATTATAGTGTCTTGAATTCACTAGCTTGTTTCTCCAGCCAATATAATCATACACTATAGCTCTGGCTTTACACAAAGAAACAGTTGTAAGAGAAATATCATTTGACAGAAGCCAACCAAAGTTTGTGGAAGCTTGTTTTGATCGACAAGGAGAAAAAAAATGGTGGTCAAGACTAACTTTGATGTTGGGTTAAGAAAGGCTGTCAAAAATCAGTTTGGCGCCAGTAGCATAGTGGTCATTACACTGACATATAGTGCAACTGCACTGCAGGCATCCCAAGTTTGAGTCATTGACCTTTCCTGATCCCATCAACCCCTTTATCTCTAACTCATTTCCTGTCACTACCTTCACTGTCCTATTATAATAAAGTTAAAAATGTCTTGCATATCGTAAAAAAGGCCTAACATAAAACCAGTGTTGGGCTAGCTACTTGAAAAATGTAGTGAGCTAAGCTATTAGCCACTCTTGAAATGTAGCTCAACTACACTTAAAGCTAACCTTTGGCAAATGTAGCAAGCTAAGCTAAAAGCTATTTGGCAAAAGTAGCTAAGCTACATCTAAGCCATTTTTGCAATTTTAATTTTTAAATCAAAGCAACTTATATGCAAGTCAATCACGTCTTAGTGATCAATAAAACTGTCAATGAAACATACCCATGGTGCCACACTGCAGCAACCCTAATTGTATTGTCTTGAAGTTACTAGCATGTTTCCCCAGCCAACAAAATCATCCAGTACAACTCTAGCTTTACAACAAAAAACAATTGTGAGATAAATCCCTTGACAGATGCAAAACAGAGTTGGGGGAAGCTTGCATTGTTTAGCAAGGAGAACTAATGTGGAATTGTGTCTCACTGCAGATTTTGTCCTCGAGTTTTGTTTCTTAGCCTCTACATTTGATAATATAAAGGAGAGAAACGTTGTGACCAAAATAAAAACCCTTAGCTCGTGCTTTCAACCAAATCACATTTCACTTCTTGCACCAAAACAAAGTTCTGCGGTTTATGCTGGAAGTGACTCACAGGTTGTGTGGTAAACAAAACAGAAAGCCAAAGCCACAACTTGAACAACAGATGATTGTTTTCTGAAAATACAGTCTGTGTTTTTCGAAGACTGCTCCAAAATGCTAATTACATTGCACAGATTTATCTTTTTTAAGTTATGGTGTAATGTGCCAGTTTTAGAATCTTATAACAAGCCATAATATAAGCATCAAGGCAAGAAATATTTTCAGTCTTTGTTAAATGGAAGCAATGCAGAAAAGCTTTTCACATGTGTACTAAAGACCATTGCTGTCTCCCAATTCTCGTACTATTCATCCTAAATAGTATTTAAAAAGTAGAATCAAATTGCAGTATCTTGAAAGGAGTATGCCAAAGGTTCCCGGATGGTTTACTATTTCCGGTAAAAACTCGAAGTGTAGAACCGTCCCTAATCTAACCACTAATAATGCCCACAATACATTGCATGTTGGACGTGAATTTGTTTAGAACTACAAGCTCGGGTAAAAAGTGTAAACAAACTACAAACATGGTGGACGCACAAGACCAACCATCAAGTAGAGAGGCTTCGGAAAAGTTGTTTGAATGACTATTGAATGAATACTTAATATCTACACTCTAAAAAACGCTGGGTTGGTTTTTTAACCCAAATGCTGGGTTGAGACTGCTGGGTAACAAAATTGGGTTGATTCAACCCAATTTGGGTTGAAAATCGATCTTTATCTATAACCCAGCAGTGCTGGGTTGGGAACGCGGACGTGAAAGAGAGCACGCACGTCACGTCAACATGCAGGGACATCAACGTGAGAAACCACCATTTTCTTTGCGCTGTCTTTGAGGGGAAGCGAGTGAAATTCTGTGTGAGACGTAAGTTATTTAGTGTGTATTTAACAATTTTCATAAGAAATAACACACTTAGTTTACTTAGTATAATATACACACGCTTTTTTTTCTGTTTCTTCGCCTGATGGCCGACTTGTTGCTCCGCCTCACGCAGACCTGTGCTCGCCTTATGGCTGAACTGTTGCTCCGAGTCCGCCTGACGAGCCACCTGTTTCTCCGGATCTGTTTCTCCGCCTAACGGCGACCTGTTTCTCCGGACCTGTTTCTCCGGACCTGTTTCTCCGCCTAACGGCGACCTGTTTCTCCGGACCTGTTTCTCCGCCTAACGCCCGAGCTGTTGCTCCGCCTAACGCCTGACCTGTGCTCGCCTCACGCCCGACCTGTTGCTCCGCCTCACGCCCAGCCTGTTGATCGGTGGACGGGTAAGCGCGCATGGCATCGGAAGGAGCTCGAAAAGTATAAGGTAACTAATGAAACTAACGTGAAGCATGTTTGATGACCACTTTATAATCACAACACCTAGGATAATTTAGGAGCTTTTTATTGTAATAAAATGCCTTTTGAATGACACAGATTTTTATGTTGGCTAGGTGATGACAGTAAGTAACGTTACTGTGATCTTTCTGGGGTGTTAACTGTAAAGCAGTAAGTAGTATTTTTACTCTTGTATTTCTTAAGTTTGTTCATGGATTTTTGTGACAATACATTGATGCATAAGTGTTGAATTCAGCTTCTAACAATGTTTTTTTTTTATCAAAATATATACAATAATTGTCCTGCTCTGCATGTACATTTTGTTTAGCTGTACATCTGTACATTGAATAGCAAATGTTATTAATTTACTATGAGCATTTTACATTCTAGACGTGATTTGAGATATCTTTAATTAATCCTGTATGTAAGGGTCGTTTCATGCTAACGGAAATGTCTGAGCTAAGGCTAATTCCAACCTAATCATCTTCGACTGCAAAAAGAAAAAGTTTGACCACCGTTTTATGTGACACCCTGGATAATTATTATCATTTAGGAGTATTTTTGTGATATAGTGACTTTTGGCTAACATGATCTTTTTTTACTTAATTTTGCTTAAACGCTTTTATCTGTTATTCTTTTTCAGATGGATAATTGCGTGAAAATCAAACTAAAAGAATGCAATCTTGAGGAGTTAATCCCCACATTTGAAGGTATGTAATAATATTTTACTTGGTTCATTGTAATCATTAGGGCTGCCCTTGTCTAAACATTTGTCTGGTTGACTTGTGATGTTCATTTGAAGCATTAGTTGAATAATTACAGATTTATTAATAAACCATTTATTCATTAATTCATTTTCTTTTTGACTCAGTCCATTTATTAATCTGGGGTCGCCACAGCGGAATGAACCGCCAACTTATCCAGCATATTTTTTACACAGCGGATTCATGCAGCATACATTGACTTTGCCAGTGTGGACTTTTTTTCTGCAACTAGTGGGTAGCACATTCGCCTCATAGCAACAAGGTCACTTGATCGATCCTTGGCTGGGTCAATAGGCCTTTCTGTGTGGAGTTTGCATGTTCTCCCCGTGTTCGCGTGGGTTTCCTCCAGGTGCCCCGGTTTCCAAAGACGTGGTAAAGGTGAATTAAGTAGACTAAATTGTCAATGGTGTATGTGTGTGAATGAGTATTTGTTTCCCAGTGATGGGTTGCAGCTGAAAGGGCATTCGCTGCATAAAACTTATGCTGGATATGTTGGTGGTTCATTCCATTGTGGTTACCCCAGATTAATAAAGCGACAAAGCTAAAAAGAAAATGAATGAATGAATAAAAAATCTTTAGTTGACTAATGGTTATTCAATTATTAGGGGGCAGCCCTAGTAATCATTAGCCACTTCAACACTTTAAACTGAGAGATTAAACTCTAATGCCAATTTGTTTTTGTCTGGTTATTTTTTAAAATCTGCTGTTCATGCAACCAGTGACATTCTCTTGTTTTATTTTTAGCACAGGAGCGAACCTTTCCTCGTTTTTAGGTCAATTTGAATACAATTCAGAGGGTAAGGATTCAATTAAAGGTTTCTCGATGCATAATGATGCATTTAATGCATAATGATTGTCTTAGTTATTTTATTAACAATGAAAATGTTATTTTTATGTTTGTTATTAGGGTGGCATGGGGGCGCAGTGGGTAGTGCTGTCGCCTCACAGCAAGATGGTCGCTGGTTTGAGCCTTGGATGGGTTTCCCCTCCACAGTCCAATGACATGCGGTGTAGCTGAATTGGGTAAGCTGAATTGTCCATAGTGTGTGTGTAAATGAGAGTGTGATGGGTTGCAGTTGAAAGAGCATCTGCTGCGTAAAACATAAAAAGATGACGGTTTTGTGAAAGTTGTGATTTGGTCACAGCTATGGTTTCTCAAATTTTTAGTGATAAGATGCTTTATATAGATAGTGAATGCAACAAACTCTAAATGGCCTGTAAGCCAATTATTTTCATTTAAGGAGAAGTCCACTTCCAACAAAAGATTCACACATAATGTACTCACCCCCTTGTCACCCAAGATGTTCATGTCATTCTTTCTTCAGTCAGAAAGATTTTTTTTTTTTAGGAAAATATTTCAGCAATTTTATCCATCTTGAACTGAGATTGTGCCTCATTTTTGAAGTTTTTAAAGAAAATTTAAATGCGGCTTCAAATGATACAAATACGGTTGCAAACAGTCCCAGCTCAGGAAGAAGGGTCTTATCTATTCTCATTAAGAAAACACAATTAAATACTTAATAATTTCAAATGCTCATCTTGCCTTACTATTACTTATTAAAAAAAGTTCCTTAGGCAAACCTGTTGTTGCATTGTCATCTTCACTCGGGCCAAAAAATTGCAGCATGGTGCCATGGTCAGTGGTTAACTAATGCCAACACTGGCTGATAGCTTGGTGTGTTATGGCCTTAATTGCTTCTAAAGGTATTTTAGGTGTTCTAAAGTTAACTCTAAAGATATTTAACTTTTACACTTTTGAGTTTTTAATAAATCCTAATTCTATTTATTTTTTCAGATTGGGACCAATATTGCTGAGTATCTTCATCCATTGAATTCAAGAATCTATTGAGTTTCCTCATGTTCTCATCCTTGGAGACCACCACTTCTTTCAAGCCTTTGCTCACGTGTTGTGCTATTTATTATTGCAAAGTACATTACTTGCCAAAGTGGACGTTTGCTATAAAGCATTCTACATCTTTGGTGTGAACTACCCCAAGCAGTGTTCCCTGGTGTGGCAGACTGTGGTTTATGGACATCCTGGGGAGGAGACACTAGCAGTAAGGGTTCTGCTAGCATTAATTTTTGCTGACAAACAGTAATCATTAATACTGTGACCTCACTGCTTCCTTGGATTCTGTGTTCTTTAACTTGTACTTTGGATTGTGGGGGAAAAGGAGCACCCAGAGAAAACCACGAACACGGGGAAAACATGCAAACTCCACACAGAAACACCAACTGACCCAGCTGAGGCTTAAACCACCGACCTTGTTGCTGTGAGGCAATCATACTACCCACTGTGCCACCATGACACCCATTTCTAAAGAATAGTTTTAATAACTCATTTCTAATAACTGATTTCTTTTCTTTGCTATGATGACGGCACATAATAATGGACTAGATATTTTTTTAAGACACTCTACACTGCAGTTACATTGCAACTAATGTTTCTTACAGACTCTTTTATATCTCAGGATTGATGTTTGCACATGATTGTTCGAGTAAAAGTTAAAAAAAGTTTTCCTATTTCAAATTTGTTTTAAAATGCTTCCATCCTCATTCCATTTCATTTTAAGTTTTATATCTGTTTTTTCTTCAAAACTGCATTTACATTGAACTTGATCATCCTTACTGATGATTGCTTTATAGCTCATATATTGATGTTTGCACATAATTGTTAAAGGGAAAGTTATAAAATGTTTTCTTATTTTTTCTTAATATAAAATTTGTATTTTCTTAGTTTTTATTGTTTGTTTTGTTTTTTCAAGCTGTTTGATGCCTTTTCATGATTACTTTCACATATTTTTTTCTGCATTGCAGTTGATGATTTATATGAGAATATGTTGATGTTTGTGCTCAAATTACTTTCTGACTTCAGTCATTTAGATGCATTTTCATTATTACTTCCTTATACTATTGTTTTTCTCTACTCTGCAATAACATTGCAATTGCCTTACTGATGATTCCTGATTTATAAATGATGCAAATGTTTTTTAATGTATTTCAAATATGCATTTTCTTAAGGTAATTTGTCTGATTTCAGTCTGATGCATTGTTACTGAACTTTAGTCAGTGTTTCTGTGATACAGTTTGATAAATTTTCACAGAAATCGTCTTAACCCTTTAACTACCCTTTCAAGAAAAAAAATTGGATTGCATTTCTCAACTGCTAATGTCGCTATTGAACACAATCAGTACATTTTAACACATGTTATAACTTCTAAAATATCAACCTTTACCAAATGATTGATATGTATGTTTATGGTAAAAGTACCAGAATTATGAAAAATCTGAAAAATTATGTGTAAGACCAGTTAAAAAAAAAAAAAAAAAAAAAAAAATATATATATATTTATATATATATATATATATATATATATATATATATATATATATATATATTTAAAAGAAATATTTTGAACACTAAATCATCTTTTTTCTTATGACTTTAACAGTCATTATTTAAAACAGTAAAAACGAGGTCAACCATTTGGTAGAGCAGGCAGTCAAAGGGTTAATGCTGAGGTGCAGATGGGAAAAATCTCAAATTCATTTGGACACATTTTATCTTTTGTCATAAATAAAATTCCATTACTGAACAACTATGTATTGCTGTAGAATTGTTTTTATTTTAGTGATTTTAATCATCAGTTTCTAGATTAAATTTCTGACCCATTTTGGGTTACATTCAACCCAGCAGTGTAGTAATTTTTAACTAATAGTTGGGTTAAAATCACAACCCAGCATGCTGGGTTAAACTTGTAACCCAACTTGCTGGGTTAAAGTAACCCAGCGTTGGGTTTGTCCCTTTTTTACCCAGCGCTGGGTTACCAAAACAACCCAAATTGGGTTGTTTTCAACCCAGCAGTTTTTAGAGTGTAGCCAATTAGAACATTTGTAAAGCCGCATTTTCTGTGTTATATTTATGTATCTTCAACAACATTGTGAACTTACATTAAGAGTTGTTTGGATATTAACTTCACAATGCATACACTGTAAAATAAATAAATAAATAAATAAAAATCCGTAATTTTGTTTTTTTACGTACCATAGCTGCTGAAATTTACCTTAAAATAACAGACGTTAAATTACAGAAATTTACCAGAAATTAAAATTTAAGGATTTTTTTTTTGTAATTTAACATCATTATTCGACTGTAAATTTCTGTAATTAAACAGTCGTTATTTCACGTTCTTTTAGCACCTCAGCTGCCAGAAAAAAACAAAACTAAACATAAAATTACGGATTTTTTTACAGTGTAGTTACTGAGGAGATTTCTTAGCATAAAACATAAAAAGACTTGTGAATGCAGAATATCTTGCTGCTGCTTCTCCAACAATGTAGGTAATTACATATGAAAAAAATGTGAAGAATCTACGGATTTCTTTTGCTATTTCTGCAGAGAATTTTGGTAAAAATCTTCAGATTTCTGCAGAATTATTTTGGGAGTATCAGAACTATAAAACTTTAATGTGTGAAATAAAAAGTAATATCTTTTTAACTTTTATTTAATGTTTAATATGCAAATCCAATTTGATTCACTTTATTTGGTAAACAAAGCAAGTCTCTCATATAATATATCTTTTAGAAGACAGAAAATTGTACTGTCCAAACTGCATAACATAAATCAGATGAACATTTTCATATTAGTTAATAATATTACTGTAATACATTTTAAAACTGAATAAATATAAATTTACACACATTTACTCAAGTAAATAAACAGAATTAATGATGGGCTAAAAATCTGCTAAATTTTGCGCGTGCAGATTTTTTGTGGGCCTAAATAACTAAGCAACACGATGATCTGTTAAAAACAAATTAGTATGTCCCAAAGCCTGCGTTCTCTTCTAACACAATCAAAATTCTAAACTTTTACTTCATACAGAAAAAGTACATACTTTTAGGCTGTAGTAAATGTATGTGAATTGGGATGCAGCACAACTCTAATAGACTAGTCACAGACTAGGGTCTAAAGAATCTGCCTGGAGACAGAAAATGTATCAGCCTTTTTATATAGCATTAGCCTTTCTATAACACTAGCAAGACTAGCAGTAAAAGAGACATGAATCATGTTTGCCAGCTTCTGCTTAAAAGCTACAGTCTGATATTTGCGAGGAGCCACAAAGGCCTCTTCCTGACGTCTTTTTTAACCCATCATCACGGGATCGTGTTCACAGGCCGGCACCCTGTGTGACAGAGTCAGAAATAGATCATGTGAAAGATGATTAAACATGGATTAGCTGCAGTGTCACGCTGGACCGCTTCATACCTCACACCGAGAAGATGAGAGGAGTGAGCGAGGGAGAGAAGACTGGTCAATAGGAAATAAAAAATAAATAAAACAAATCACAGCTTGGTCAAAGGATGACTAAGAGGCAGTTACAGACAACTGCAGAACTGATCCACATTCTGTTAGCTTAATGTAATTTGATGACTCATAATTGATTTTTAAGCATAATAAACAATTTATATATATATATATATATATATATATATATATATATATATATATATATATATATATATATATATATATATATATATATATATATATATATATATATATATATATATATATATCAACAGACAGAATAGATGAAAAGTAACCATTAAGACCAGCAATTATGGGTAAATTATTGGTAAACAAATCTGCAATTTTTATGCGACACTAACTATAGTTTATGATGTTTATTACAATATATTAATATTTATTATATTTAACAGAGATGGTATAGCACATGGCTAACACATTTTAGCTTGTTTTACTACACTGGTATTATTTTTTAACACATTATTAGCATGTTCTAAAACATAGCGAGTATGCCTTAGCAAGCTGCTAATGTTTTGTTGATGATTTTGAGAATGCTTTGGAAAGATTTTTAATTTATTAAACAATTTTGAAAATTAAAAGTGTTCGAAGTTTTAAGAGCTAGAATTT